TGTGATAGCAGTGTTATCTCTGTGATAGCAGTTTTGTCTCTGTGATAGCAGTTTGTCTCTGTGATAGCAGTTTTGTCTCTGTGATAGCAGTTTTGTCTCTGTGATAGCAGTTTTGTCTCTGTGATAGCAGTTTGTCTCTGTGATAGCAGTGTTGTCTCTGTGACAGCAGTTTGTCTCTGTAATAGCAGTTTGTCTCTGTGATAGCAATTTTGTCTCTGTGATAGCAGTTTGTCTCTGTGGGTGGCAGTTTGTCTCTGTGATCCAATTTGTCTCTGTGATAGCAGTGTTGTCTCTGTGATAGCAGTTTGTCTCTGTGATAGCAGTTTTGTCTCTGTGATAGCAGTTTGTCTCTGTGATAGCAGTGTTGTCTCTGTGACAGAGTTTTGTCCTTGAATAGCAGTTTGTCTCTGTGATAGCAATTTTGTCTCTGTGATAGCAGTTTGTCTCTGTGATAGCAGTTTGTCTCTGTGATAGCAATTTTGTCTCTGTGATAGCAGTGTTGTCTCTGTGATAGCAGTAATGTCTGGACGCTCTTCTGCTACCTTGTCCTTTAGGGGCTACTTTGACTTGTGTTCCAATCTGCATTTGCATACCAACATATTGATATTTCTAACATTCATCTTAAGCTGGGACTTCTGGTAACAGGATTGGCTACTGGAAGGAGAATGAGTCCGAGAGAGACTCATTGTAATTTGCATGGGGAGGTGAAGTGATAAGAATTGTGATTTTTCTTTAGAATAGAGAGGGCAAAAAGAAGCCCGGAATTGTGAGTATGGGTTGAGGAAATGGGGTGAAGGAAGAGGCGGATGGAAAAGTGAGGGAAGGGGATAGGAGAGTGAGGGAATGGGAAGAGAGAAAGAATGGGAGATTGAGTAGAATGAGAGAGGAATTGAGGATGTTTGGTGGGAATTTGGGACTTGAGGGATGCTATTTGTTGCTCCAGGTTGCTGATTGTAAGTGCAGGGTAATAATAATAATACTATTAATAATAATAATAATAATAATAATAATAATAATAATGATGATGATGATGATGATGATGATGATGATGATGATGATGATGATGATGATGATGATGATGATGATGATGATGATGATGATGATATTATTATTATTATTATTATTATTATTATTATTATTATTATTATTATTATTATTATTATTACTAAGAAAGAATACAGGGAATGGAACAAGCTGTATAAAGTAGGGGAAGGAGAGAGGGAGCAGCACGGTTACATAGTGGAAAAAGGAGTGGATGAGAAGAGGTTGCAGTAGATCGGGGGGATACTAGCTGCAGCTTTTAGTTCCTCCAGCAGATTTTAGTTCTTGTCCTGTGTGGGCTAAATATTGCACTTCCATTCCTGTTTCTATGGCTACTTCTTTGTTTCTTCTGCTCCTCCTACGTCATCACTGAAGCTGCTCCCTCCTCATATGTAGTGTCCCTTTATGGAAATATTCGTTCATATCTGCTCGATTGTCCAGTGTTTGATTTCCACTGTATCATCTGGTTTCTTATTTATTCTGTCTGAAAAATCGCTTTCACTGGGATTCGTTGTTCTCTCTCGCACAATCCTACTCAGTAAAAACACATATCTAATTATTTTTTTGCCGCCTGTGATCTTGTAGCTGTTAATAAATCGTCTACATCCTTTTGTCCACCCTTCCATCCTTCACTTTTTGTTTCTCCATGCTACTCCAGCTGACCAAATATAGTCAAAAGCAGTATACGTTTCTGCTGTGTGACTCTCAATAGTGTCTCTTAATTGTAACAGTTTCGTTTTCTGTCTGTTGTACTATTTTTGTCTTTGTCTAGTCTATTTTTATGTGTCTGAGAGGCTCTTCCCTTTCCTGTTCTTAATTTTTCATATCTTGAATTCCTCTGCACAGCTTATTTCAGTCTTTTCCTGCCTCCCTTTATACCTCTTTCTGAATGATGCTGGTTTTGTGTTCTATCTCTGAATGATGCTACTTTTCTATTCCATCTCTCTATTCGTTTTACTAACTAGCTGCTAACTACTAACTACTAGAGCCAGGAGAGAGGAGAGAGAGAGGAGTGATGGTACTCATTTATTTGTACTCACCCATATGTGGTTGCAGGGGTATAATCATACCTCCTGCCTTCCCCCTCCCTCCTCTTCGCTGGTCGCTACTAGGTCCACTCCTCTATGAGCTCTATCGAACCTCTTCTTACAGATATGGATGGATACTGCCTCCACTACATCACTCTCAAGATAGTTTCATTTCCTGACAACTCCATGACTGAAGAAATACTTCCTGACATCCCTGTGGCTCATCTGAGTTTTCGACATCCAGCTGTGACCACTTGTTGCTGTGTCCCATCTCTGAAACATTCTGTCCCTGTCCATCTTGTCGATTCCTCTCAATATTTTATAAATCGTTATCATGTCCTCCCTATCTCTCCTATCCTCCAGTGCCTTCGAGTTGATATCCCTTAACCTCTCCTCATAGTGCATGCCCCTTAGCTCTGGGACTAGTCTTGTTGCAAACTTTTGAACTTTCTTGATTTGTTTGACCAGGCGTTGGTTCCATACTGATGCTGCATACTCCAATATGGGCCACACGTACACAGTGTGCAGAATTCTGACTGACTCCTTACTTAGTTGTTGAAACGCTGTTCTTAGGTTTGCCACGCTCCCACATGCTGCAGCAGTTACTTGGTTGATGTGCGCCTCAGGAGATATGCTCAGAATGGTGCTGACCCCAAGATACTTTTTCTTGAGTTTTGCAGCTCTGAACTCTTAGGCTGTACTCCATCTGCTGTCTCCTTGTCCATCCCAAGCTTCATAACTTTGCACTTGCTGGGGTTAAACTTCAGGAGCTTAAACTTCAGGAGCTATCTGTAGGATCAGGCTAGCAGCCTGTCCAGATCCCCTTGTAAGTTTACCTGATCCTCGTCCGCTGGTATTCTTTTCATTAGTTTCACATCGTCTGCAAACAGGAACACTTTTGACTCTCTCCCTTCCGTCATGGCATTCACATATACAAGAAACAGAAGCTGACCTAGAACTGACACTTGTGGAACCCCACTCGACACATGCACCCACTCTGACACCTCGTCGTCTCGTACCGACACACGCTGTTTCCTTCCTGTCAGGTATTCCCTGATCCATTGCAGTACTTTCTCCCCTATTCCTGCCTGCTCCTCTAGCTTTTCAACCAGTTTCTTGTGTGGTATTGTATCGAAAGGCTTTTTACATTCCAAGAAAATGCAGTCTACTAATCCCTCTCTCTCCTGTCGTACTTCTGCTACCGTATCATAGAACTTCAGTAGGTCTGTGATGCAGTATGTAGGTTGTCATGTATTAGTCCATTCCTTTCTAGGTGCTCCAACACTCTTTTCCTGACAATCTTCTCCATAACTTTACATATGCAATACACGTCAGCGACACTGACTTGTATTGTCAGAGTTTGCTCAGCTGATGTGACTCCAAGGTCCTTTTTTAATGAGGTCTGGAGCCTCTGTCTATACTCCTTGCTCGGTTCGTGTCCATATGTATGTGTGTGCATGTGTGTGTGTGTGTGTGTTGTGGTGTTGATTTTATATTATATGTATATATTATATATATATATAATTATATATATATATATATATATATATATATATATATATATATATATTATATATATTATATATATATATATATATATATATATATATATATATATATTTATATACATATTATGTAATAGTGTGTGTGTGTGTGTGTGTGCACTCTCGCATATTTACATATATCTTATGCAAATTTGCAAACTTGCCTATATGAGTATGTTCCAATTTACATATGCGTCTGAGTGCGCCTTTGTGTGTGAGGTCCAGCATATATTACCCCTCTCATGTGCCGTCACTCTGCTGAAACACATGACATGGGTGTACGCAAGACCAACATTAGCAAACTGGTATTAAAAATGTATTCTCCTAATATAGTGAAATATTGTGCCAACTATGATGCTGGTAAAGGTCTCTTGATCCATGGAAATACAATTATTCGCCCTTCCAATGAGTTAAAGCTGATTTACTATCGAAGCTAAGTATGATCTCTCCTGGTTTAATGTTTTCTCCATGAATGTATCAGTAATATTAACAACAACAATAACAATACGAACGAGAACAACAACAATAGCACTAATAATAATAATAATAATAATAATAATAATAATAATAATAATAATAATAATAATGTGTGTGATCTCACATATTAACTCTGCGATTATTATATCACATCTACATTATTATTATTATTATTATTATTATTATTATTATTATTATTATTATTATTATTATTATTATTATTACATTCATTGGGGGACGAGGTGCAATGTCCATAGGGGTCAAACGGTAATTATGGGGAGTAAAGAGAAACAGGGTCGATCCATACAAGAAATGTATCAGATCCAATTCCTTGGATCAGGAGCCCCTCACCAACCAGGAACCTTCGTTGACTGGTTATGTTTTGAGCAGCTAGAGATTCTGAAACAGGGTTGTACACTGTCTATTAAGACATAATAAAACCTTATTTTTGAGCGACATGTCTAAAACATGGGTTAGGCTGCTTCTTGATTTCAAGATTTTTCAATACGAAAGTCCCCGGGAGTGGAACCCTGGGTGAAGCTGGACGTATGGGCACGTCTCCTAGCATTTGTTGATCTTCCTGCTTAGTAGTAAATAGGTACTTGACAATTAGCCAGCTGTTGTGGGTAGTATCCTAAGTACAGAGTAACACGTATGGACGTGTGTTCTGTTATCAGAGGCAACTGTAATATGTAATATGTTATCAGGCCGTATGTTCGGATAACATCCGAACATATGGCCGGAAGGAAGCCGTAATCCACAATGACAGTGATCGCGTGCTTTGCAACACTCACATTCGCAACGTTGTTTTTCACATTCACATTCACAATGTTTTCCAACTCACCTTCGCGACGTTTTTCACCGTATTTTCTGTGTGGTGCGACGCTGGTTTAACCCGCAATGTTTACAGATGGACCCGAGAGCGTGGAGGTGCGAGGTCTGGATGGCCCGGTGTCTGCAGGGCGCCCCCACCAGGTGGTCTGCGAGGCTAGGGGAAGCAGACCACCTGCCACACTCACCTGGTGGCTCAATGGACGCATGAAGAAGGGCGTATCCCAAATGGTGAGTTTACAAGCCTCCTGCTGCCTGTCGGAGGTAAGCTGTACTTCGTCTCTTGGGATTTTGGGGACGAAGCTTTCTGGGTGATGATTCAAGCTTTCCGTGAATCTTAAACGAGTTTACATGTTAAATGCTTTACAGGAGGAGTTTGCTAGATAAAATAAGCTTAAGGTGAGTCAACACGGATTCTATTGATTATATTGGTGCTTATTACTTTGTTAAATTCGTTCTTCCTGAGCCCAAGTTCCAGGAAAATCAATTTCTTTTTTCCATTAGGATTTGTAGAGGATAATGTTAAGCTCTTTCACTTTTAAAGCTTTTCATTTGCTATTTTTTCTACCCTATCATTTCCTTATTCCATTTCCTGATTTCTCCTTTCTTTGTCCTTCCTCTGATTACCAAAGTGACGCACGCTATGAAACCAGTCAAACATCCCCCTTTCCCCTCCACACCACACACACACACACACACACATTCCCTCTCTTATTGTCAGTGAGATGTTGAATGTGTACTCACCCAAACAGGTGAACACACCTTCAGTAACATACAAAGAGACTAACCCGAGAGAAATGGTTGGAGAGTCTTCCAACATCATTACCTCCCGGGAGAGGCATAATTAATTAAAATAGGACTTAAGAAACTTGAGACTAAGCTCGGTAACTAATGGTCATATAAAACACGGACGCATGATGGAGCCTTCATGATTTAAGAACGTGTCACTGACGATGGGAACTTCTCCGTCTTCAGTGTCCACCTTGTCGGAACTTTGTACCTGTTCTCATTATATAAATTAATTTTATTTTTTTTAAAGGGATGGACCTATAAGCCAGGGAAAGGCCTTAGTCAGATGACCAAAAGCTCCAGTGGCTGGTCATCATATGACGAAGATCAGGGTTAGGAAGCACTTGTCCTGTTTCCTGATGAATCTTACCTAACCCAACCTCGACTCCCTCAGGGTAAATTGTGCCTCAGTAGGAGAGAATATTAGAGACTGAAGAACACATGTAAGAGGTAATGAGACAAAAATGCTAATCAAAATAATTGACGTAGTTATAAAGAAGAGCAATTACGTTGTGAATGCAAATGTAGACTCAGACTGCTATATACATGTAAGACGTCTCTTGAGGGAAGACAGTGCTGTCCATGATCTAGGGTCCCCAGAATTTTACACGAAGACCACATAACGTTACAGACGTATTCAACAACAACAAATAAAAGGCTGTGAACAATTTACATTTAGCACAAAAGTATGTGCAAAATTAAATGAATGCATCAGAGCAGAAAAACAAAACGCTGACAGATGACTACGCTGGAAGAGAAATAGTGTTGCACTATGAATACATGGGGCTAGAACAAACAAAACGTGTCACATACACACAAAGACATATTCATGCACTCATACATACTTACATACATGCAAACATACATATATACATACACACACACTGGAAGCTGAAGACTCAGACGAGTCACAGGAACGTTAGGAAGTATTTCTTCAGTCATAGAGTTGTCAGGAAGTGGAATAGCCTAGCAAGTGAAGTAGTGGAGGCAGGAACCATACATAGTTTTAAGAAGAGGTGTGATACAGCTCAGGAAGCAGAGAGAGAGAGGACCTAGTAGCGATCAGTGAAGAGGCGGAGCCAGGAGCTGAGTCTCGACCCCTGCAACCACAATTAGGTGAGCACGCACACACACACACACACACACGACGTTGCACAACACAACTATCAGTACTAGAACTTACAAAAGTAAGCCACTTTTTTATGTAAAATAATGAGCAACCAATTAGCCATAGTGCTTCGTAAATTATACAAATGCACTTCACCTCTTAGTCAAATCGTTTACTGATAAGTAAGAAAATATATACGTTTTACAAACTGTTACAACCGGTTTACATTTTGTTTTTTTATATGCTGCCAACAAAACATTGAAGTCAACGAGATTCACTGATGCTGTGAAGGATGCTTCTGCTGCTACCATCAGGGGAAACCCAGAATACCATCACATCCATGGGCCTCACAGCATCCTCACAGACCCTTGTACTATATGAAGAGTTAGTAAGAAAGTTCTTAAGAGATTAGGTGACAAAGTGTCAAGGTCACCAAGAAACACCCAGAATAACTCAGTTTCTTATTTGAGGCTCGGTGTTTTAATCCAGAAAGAAATTGGCTGCAGCATTCTGGGATGAATAATAACGTGCTGACGTGCATGCTTTTGTGTTATCAACATTTATTGTTGTTTATTTTCTTTGCATATATATATATATATATATATATATTATATATATATATATATATATATATATATATATATATATATATATATTATATATATATATATATATATATATGCAAGGAATTCGCCAGAGCAAACACTTATCTCTGGCTGAAGGAGACTCGAATCTACGAACCTTGGAACAAGATACGCAGTGCTATACCAATCTCACCACACTGGACCAATACCTTGGCGTCCAGCTTGCGCTAGACGTTTTGATCCAAGGCAGCCAGCTTTTAGGGAGAAGGCTTACAGCTTTTCATCTCATCCCCTGCATGCATCAGCCTTACTAGAGATTTTAACAATGCAAGGAATTCGGAAGAGCAGGCGAAATAGGTTGGTAGACAGCAACCTCCCAGGGAGGTACTACCGTCCTGCCAAGTGAGTGTAAAACGAAAGCCTGTAATTGCTTTACATGATGGTAGGATTGCTGGTGTCTTTTGTCTGTCTCATAAATATGCAAGATTACAGGTAAGTCTTGCTACTTCTGCTTACACTTACGTCACACTACACATACATGTACAAGCATATATATACACACCTCTCTGGGTTTTCTTCTATTTTCTTTCTAATTCTTGTTCTTGTTTATTTCCTCTTATCTCCATGGGGAAGTGGAACAGAATTCTTCCTCCGTAAGCCATGCGTGTCGTAAGAGGCGACTAAAATGCCGGGAGCAAGGGGCTAGTAACCCCTTCTCCTGTATATATTACTAAATTTAAAAGGAGAAACTTTAGTTTTTTTCTTTTGGGGCACCCTGCCTCAGTGGGATACGGCTGGTACGTTGAAAGAAGAATATATATATATATATATATATATATATATATATATATATATATATATATATATATATATATATATATATTATATATATATATATATATATATATATATACAGTATATATTCTGTCTTCTTTCAATGCACCGGCCGCATCCCATCGAGGAAGGGTGCCCCAAAAAAAGAAAAACAAATGTTTCTCTATTTAACTTTACTAATATATACAGGATAAGGGGTTACTAGCCCCTTGCTCCCGGCATTTTAGTCGCCTCTTACAACACGCATGGCTTACGGAGGAAGAATTCTGTTCCACTTCCCCATGGAGATAAGAGGAAATAAACAAGGACAAGAACTAGTAAGAAAATAGAAGAAAACCCTGAGGAGTGTGTATATATATGCTTGTACACGCTAGTGTGACCTAAGTGTGAGTAGAAATAGCAAGACATACCTGAAGCCTTGCATGTTTATGAGACCGCAGCCTGTTCGCACTGCAAATTGTTCAATAAACATACTTATCTACATTAATGTTATTTTCGTGGTTTAGAGATCTTCTCATGCTTCTATCTACATTCATCTAACATTCAGTTTCATTATTTGCTTCTTCCCTAATCCTTCAGGGTACTTTTTTGGCAACCATATCAACTTTATGACGAAAAAGTAATCCAATGTGTGTTTTAAGCCTTAGAAATTGTACATTAATTTCTTTTCCCCGGATTTTTGAGTATCTGTATCTGGCTTCTCCAATGAGTATATTGCGAGAGTCATTATGTCTGTTAGGAGCCTTTGGTGATGACATAGATTCTAGCAACAGACATGAAGGAAAAATTCTCTCAGAGGCAAGGTAGAAACGTGCTAGCGTCGACCCATACCACTGCCAGCGACTGTTACATCCACAATTGTGGCAGACTGGGCAGTTTTGAAGGTATCTGGCTGGCTAGGCATTCTTCGGCGTATGTGACAGGGTGGCCAGTCTTGAAGGTATCCGGCAGGATTGACATTCTTGAAAGCATCTGGCCGACTGGGTAATCTTCAACGTACGTGGCAGGAGGGGTAGTCTTCAAGGTATGTAAATAACAAAAAGGCACAATACCGTGACTGGAACAATACACAAATAACCCTGCCTTGGGTATCTGGTCCGTTGTTATTATTTTCCCCCTATGTGTTCTTGTTTCTACCCTTTGTGGGCCCCTAGCTCCTTTGTGGGTCCCTAGCTCCTTTGTGGGGCCCCTAGCTCCTTTATGGGTCCCTGGTTCCTTTGTTGCCCCTAGTTCCTTTGTGGGCCCGTAGCTACTTTGTGGGCCCCTAGCTCCTTTGTGGGCCCCTAGCTCCTTTGTGGGCCCCTAGCTCCTTTATGGGCCCCTAGCTCCTTTGCAGTGATCCTGTTTCTTAGTCTTAGTTAATCATTTTAGTCATCCTTCATTCTATTTAGGATTGATGGACTGACGTGTTTGTGTGCTCTCTGTGAATCTGAACCAGAATGCCCTCTCTTGAGCAACTTTACCAGCAGCTGAAAGAAGAGTTTAAAGCCCTAACAGCTCCCTCCACTGCCGTTGCCAGTGCCCCCACCCCAGACTTAGATAAGTGAACCCCATCCCAAGCATACATGTCATTTCTGCCATAGAAGAGGTCCCAGTTGTCAATGAATGTTACCACATTCTCCTTACAGTATTTGTCCAGCCAGCAATTGACACCAATTACCCTGGACAACCATTCGTTTCCAACTCCTCTCCTTGGCAAAATACCACATATGACAGGGTTCCCACCCTTCTTCCTAATTATCTATTGCTGACCTATACTTGCTAATCAGATCCTCACTCCTACGTCTGCCAACATCGTTGCCTCCCGCACTGAGGCAGATAATAGGATTGCTCCCATTACCTTTCATGATGTCCAGACGGCTAACAATATCCCCCATCCCAGCCCCAGGAAAACATACCCTGAGCCTCCTCTTCCT